AGATGGTAGTTGGGTATATTTAAATTGTTTTGGTAAGAACGTGTCAGTAACTGAGCCGCCTATTTTAAAGTGATTAGATTTATCTACATTTGTTTCAGAACAATTTATTTCTGAGCTGCCCTGTCAAAATTAAAAGGGCGTATAGGTTCAAGGTTGTCCCGGCAAAAGCCTCTTTAAATTATTGATGGACGATCTTAAAGATCATAATTTGGTTATGAAAACTTTAGAAGAATTGAACGAAATATAAGATATTGCCCGCTGTAGACAATGTCGGAAGAACCTTTTGTCGTAGTTGTTAAACACACACTTATTTTTAGGAATTAATTTAAAATTTACGAAGACAATTTGTTTTCAGCCAGAAATTTGCGTTCAAAGTTCATTCGTCTTCAGTCTTGGGTGCAGTTTTTTATCAGGTATTCACTATTCAACCATGTTGCTCTGTGCACTGTGCAGGACATTCAAATAAGTCGAAACCTGTAAATAGAGTGCCCTTCTAAGGACTAAGAATCAAAAACATATTATAGTATACAAATAATAAGTTAATGAGTATAAAGTATGGTATATTGGTAGGTTGAAACATTGAACTGTGGGCATGAAGGTAACCATTTAATTATTACGAAAATCACATAGATACCCACTTTGACATTACGTCAGAAATATGAACAATTATATGCGAGTAATCATTTTGGAGAAGTATAGAACCATTTTAGATTAAATGGACAACAGCTTGATTGTAGTAGGGTTGCAAGTAAGAGAGACATACAGTTCTATTCTTCTTTTAATGAAATTTAAATAGAATCTTTGTGAATTGCTTGGTTTGGTCAGAAATGCACGTACACACAGGCGACCCCGCTATCCTAGCAAATACTCTGAAACAGTTTATTATTTTTTCACAGAACTGGAGTGTAGAAATAGCCAAAGCTAATGTTTATTTCATTATATGATGAGACACTATTAATTACATCCAAGATAAACGAGGATTTTATACATTGTGAAAATTTGTAATTACATTCTTTATTTCTTATTGCTTATTTTCACTGAAATGCACCTCGTAAAGGATGTGATTTTCATCACGCACTATGGTCATTGGAATGGGAGACGTTATAGATTCACGAACACTATTCCCTGCGATTATAAATTATCTCTTGCCACCAAATATAGCTTGAGAGATATAAAAACGTTGAGCAATTACAATGAATTAGAAATTTGGGCTGATCTAACATTGTAAACAAGATGAAATAGTAATATATATGATTCATGTTAATAACCTTGGATTATAAAATTTAATGAAGTTTAGCACAAGTGAGTTATGTATTTGAGATGCTTACCAAGCCTGACAATTCCTTATTTATTCTCGTGTTCTGTGTTTATGTACGATAGCTTATATGCTTATAACACACATTTTCCGAGTATCGATTCAGTCCCTGGATTATATTATTCTTACTTGTAACAGCTCTAGGCAGAATGTTTGAAATACTTATTTTTGCGATATTAAATTCTGCCCACAATGTTTCAACAAATTCTTCGATGTCTTTTGTGACACTGTAAGAGTTTACTGTGTTGATGAAATAGTTAGTACCAGTGAGTAGAACAACCTTGTCTTTCTTTTTTTGTCTTTTTTCAGATTTATCATATTTTCTTTCCCTCAGTGACGGTTCGAGGAGTCAACGCAAAAACTGTACCTCTCAATTCAACGGGGATTTTGCATCTTCTTGTTCGAAGAGTACACTGCTATCTCACTGCTTTCTCACTGCTTTCCCCTGCTTCCTCCTGCTTCAGAGGATAACATCAGAATAGTGCAATACCTACATCATCTACGCGCTTTAGTATTTGTTTGCACAGTGTTTGGTGTAAAGATCTTATTACCACTGTATGATCCTGTAATATGGCTCAGATTACGGATAAAATAAAATATTGTATTTCTAAGATGTTGCATGAACTTTAATAGTTTATACCTAGCTGATATGGAACCAAATATTTACTTTAAAACTACTACAAAATTTAGTTCTTTGAAGCACTGAGGCATATTTTCGTTAATTTATGATGCAGATGAATTTTAGTTGTGTTATCTATCATCTCCAGGATACCAATTGTACAAGATTTAATTATATGTGGTCCATTCTGTAAATATTGTTGATTGTGACTAAAATTATGGCATTACTGATTTAATTTGGATTATGTTTTCTGATTAAAATGCTAATTTTGATGTCCTGCACAGCAGATCGAAGCATTTTTAATTTATTTCTATTATATTGCTGTTTAAATTTGACTCTAATTCTAATTCTAATTTGTAAAATGCTTTCCTGTCTCAAATTCAATACCGGGACTAAAGTGTTCAGACACTAAAGCCCGGGGTCCCCAAGTAAGCAAGTAAGAATAAGATAGAGAGAGAGTTGCAAGTTCAAAAATTGTGAATAGTTGAGGGTTAAGCTTTTCTGTTAATTGTGATCACATCATCGAAGAAGTCAACATACAACGTCAAATAGTCTAGAACCTTCTAAATGTGACTCTACCGTGCACGCGGTAACAATTAAGTATTGAATCTATCAACTCGCGCACGCGAGTTCTTCTCGTACAGTTGCACCTGAGATTTCTCGCGAATCTCGCAATTCGGATGACACCCACTATAGTGAAGCGACAGTGGGGGTCACCGCGTGATACAAGCTGCTTGTATTGTTCGAATTAGCTAAGCATCATGTAGTGTGTGTGTGTGTGTGTGTGTGTGTGTGTGTGTGTGTGTGTGTGTGTGTGTGTGTGTGTGTGTGTGTGTGTGTGTGTGTGTGTGTGTGTGTGTGTGTGTGTGTGTGTGTGTGTGTGTGTGTGTGTGTGTGTGTGTGTGTGTGTGTGTGTGTGTGTGTGTGTGTGTGTGTGTGTGTGTGTGTGTGTGTGTGTGTGTGTGTGTGTGTGTGTGTGTGTGTGTGTGTGTGTGTGTGTGTGTGTGTGTGTGTGTGTGTGTGTGTGTGTGTGTGTGTGTGTGTGTGTGTGTGTGTGTGTGTGTGTGTGTGTGTGTGTGTGTGTGTGTGTGTGTGTGTGTGTGTGTGTGTGTGTGTGTGTGTGTGTGTGTGTGTGTGTGTGTGTGTGTGTGTGTGTGTGTGTGTGTGTGTGTGTGTGTGTGTGTGTGTGTGTGTGTGTGTGTGTGTGTGTGTGTGTGTGTGTGTGTGTGTGTGTGTGTGTGTGTGTGTGTGTGTGTGTGTGTGTGTGTGTGTGTGTGTGTGTGTGTGTGTGTGTGTGTGTGTGTGTGTGTGTGCCCTTACTAACCATAAAGTTAAAATCATAAAATAAAAAGACTTGGAAACACTTGACTAAGATTAAATTGAAATGTGTCGATCCAGCAAGTTATTATTTTTTGAAGATACAAGTTTTGCAGGCAAAATATTTGTGGTTCAATCAAGTAGGGCATGGCTATAATAATTACTAACAGTGTACTTTTAAAATTTCCTCGCAAACACAACAGAATCATGACAAATCACACTCAGCCTGCATTTTAAGGTTCGAAATTTTGGCTGCATCAGGTGGGTCAGGCTAACAAATTAGTAGGAAAAGCTTCCTTGTCAAAAATGTTAATTGTGTATTTCTGATCAATCACGGGAGACAAAGTAAAACAAGTTGTAATTTGGGTTAGTAACTAAATTGGTAACAATTGGTTAAATAGGTTAGTAAATGAATTGTTAACAAATGGGTAATGGGTTAGCACACTAACGCTGCACTCACTATCACTGCACGTCACTCTACACAGACCTCAAACACAACTCTCACTCACTTAACCTCGTGAGTGGTGTGGTAATGTGATTACAAACAAATCTTCCCAAAACTGTAAATCCTTCTTAATAACAGTTCAAACTTCTTATAAACTACTTCTTCTAACTTCTTCTAACTTCTTAGAAACTAAATCTTCTATCACTTCCCCAGTAGTACAGACAGATCCGTCTGAAAAAATCGATCTGCCGACACACAAAGCTTACAAAGGATTTTTGACGTTTTTGAGTCCTAATAGATGTCCCTTATGGCTGACCAACTTTTCCAAACTTTTCCACGTGTCTTAAGGCCACTTTTTGCCACTTTACCACTTTTTACCACCTTTCTTGTTTGTCGAATATCTTTAGTTGTGAACATCGTAAAAGGTTGCGGATCAATCGAGTGTGTTCATATTACCATGAAGAAAAACTTTTGTTCTAACAATTTTTACGTCAGATAATCATTTAATTGGATAATTATCAATTAGCTAATTAGCAAAATTCTAAAAATTTTTTATTGGCTCAAAATGATCGGAATAGCTTAAAACACGGAGAAAAGTAGTTTTTAGAAAAACTTTAAAAATTTTTCACTTACATTTTTTTTCGAGACTTGGAAAAATTTCGAAAATTCAAAAAAAAAATTTCCGCCAAAAGTGATCAAATCGCATGAAACGGGGAGAAAAATGCTTTTCAAAAAAACTTAGTGAATTTTTCGTTTCAAGAATACTTAAATCACCAATATTTGTAGTTGGAGTTCATTAAATCGCGGCAGATTTTAGTAATCAGGAATTACTAAGTGGAAAGGTATGAAACTGAAAAACGTTAACCATACGATAAAAGAGTTTCATAACTAATTACAATACAGCCTTATCGATTTTCACAGAAACTGCACCAATGGCACAGTCAAGAACGAAAGACGAAACGATAGCCTGCTGTACTATCATTTTAATGATTTCAATGATGAATCAGTGGGGTTAAGATAATCACATTTGTAATAAATAAAACCTCTCTGTACCGTCAATTGTGCTAATCTAAACCGGCCTACCTGGATTACCAGACCTCTTCTTTTCCTCAACAATCAAACCAAGTTGTTCATATAGTATTTGGTGGGCGATGTAAGTACTTATCGAGCTGTATTCAATCACAATACGACACAATACGTGTATATTATATGGCTCTTAATGAGGTTTATGAAACGCTTAATACCGTGAGAAACCCGGTATAGAGACGTTTTACAGTTTATCACGAAAACGTATACTTGGCCTCATGGCTCATTTACAGTTCGAAGAAGGCAAGAACAGACCAGGGAAACTAAGGAACAGCCATATCCAGGAAGCAAGTGTAAATACACCTTCCAACACCTACTGTGACTTGTTTTGTATTGTACTGCATACCGCTTCATTTGCTATGCGGTATAAAATCACCCCCATATGTCAGGGTCGGTTAAAAGTAAAATCAACAAGGGTAACATACGGGCAAGGATAAGATTTAGATATGAGCGTCGGGCAAGGGGTAGTAAAGAACCGGTAATAATTCATTCAGTAAAATGTTCCACGAGAGTCAGGATATTTTGGAAATTGCTAATAGAGACAGATCCTGATCAGGAAGGATTGTTAATGTTATTGAGGATGTTGATTTGAAATCCGGACGTCGTGAAGTAAAAATACAGGTTCTTCCCGCAGGATATTCGGGGCCCATGATGATCAGCTCGGGATTAATGTGGGACAGATCGAAGAGCATTGAAAAGAGCGAGTTGACATTTTAAGCTTTCTGGTCTTTTCTTGCCTTCTTTGAGCTGTCAAAGAGTCATGAGGCCAAGTAGACGTTTTCGTGATAAACTGTAAAACCTCTCCATACCAGGCCTCTCACGGGAGAAACGAGAAGTGTACGGTATAGAACGTTTCATATACCTCATTAAGGGCCATAATATAATATACACGTATTGCATTGTGTCGTATTGTGATTGAATACAGCTCGATATGTACTTACATCGCCCACCAAATGCGATATGAACAACTTGGCTTGATTGTAGAGGAAAAGAAGAGGTCTGGTAATATAAAACAAGTCACAGTAGATGTTGGAAGGTGTATTTACACTTGCTTCCTGGATATGGCTATTCCTTAGTTTCCCTGGTCTGTTCTTGCCTTCTTCGAACTGTAAATGAGCCATGAGGCCAAGTATACGTTTTCGTGATAAACTGTAAAACGTCTCTATACCGGGTTTCTCACGGTATTAAGCGTTTCATAAACCTCATTAAGAGCCATATAATATACACGTATTGTGTCGTATTGTGATTGAATACAGCTCGATAAGTACTTACATCGCCCACCAAATACTATATGAACAACTTGGTTTGATTGTTGAGGAAAAGAAGAGGTCTGGTAATCCAGGTAGGCCGGTTTAGATTAGCACAATTGACGGTACAGAGAGGTTTTATTTATTACAAATGTGATTATCTTAACCCCACTGATTCATCATTGAAATCATTAAAATGATAGTACAGCAGGCTATCGTTTCGTCTTTCGTTCTTGACTGTGCCATTGGTGCAGTTTCTGTGAAAATCGATAAGGCTGTATTGTAATTAGTTATGAAACTCTTTTATCGTATGGTTAACGTTTTTCAGTTTCATACCTTTCCACTTAGTAATTCCTGATTACTAAAATCTGCCGCGATTTAATGAACTCCAACTACAAATATTGGTGATTTAAGTATTCTTGAAACGAAAAATTCACTAAGTTTTTTTGAAAAGCATTTTTCTCCCCGTTTCATGCGATTTGATCACTTTTGGCGGAAATTTTTTTTTTGAATTTTCGAAATTTTTCCAAGTCTCGAAAAAAAATGTAAGTGAAAAATTTTTAAAGTTTTTCTAAAAACTACTTTTCTCCGTGTTTTAAGCTATTCCGATCATTTTGAGCCAATAAAAAATTTTTAGAATTTTGCTAATTAGCTAATTGATAATTATCCAATTAAATGATTATCTGACGTAAAAATTGTTAGAACAAAAGTTTTTCTTCATGGTAATATGAACACACTCGATTGATCCGCAACCTTTTACGATGTTCACAACTAAAGATATTCGACAAACAAGAAAGGTGGTAAAAAGTGGTAAAGTGGCAAAAAGTGGCCTTAAGACACGTGGAAAAGTTTGGAAAAGTTGGTCAGCCATAAAGGACATCTATTAGGACTCAAAAACGTCAAAAATCCTTTGTAAGCTTTGTGTGTCGACAGATCGATTTTTTCAGACGGATCTGTCTGTACTACAGAAGTGATGTGAACGTGTTGTGATATTCCCTTACTCACAAACACTAGATCTTCTCTTTAGGTTCTTCTGTGTGGTCCCCGTGACACACACACACACTCTGGAACTTGACTTGTCTGGCTTTCACTCTTACAGCAGCAGACACTCACTAGAACTAAAAACAACCCTGTAAATATAAGAAAGTATGTTAGAAAGTAGTAACCCAAAACTACAAACCTAGGACTAAAGGAACTGCTACAAAGAAACTGAAACTACTACAAAGAAACCAAAATAAGCTAAACATTACACTACCTGCCCTTCAGGGTTAGCTCTCGTTCCGTTCACCTGAATCCTCTCTATTTACATCCTTGTTGTATTTACATGCTAAGGGAATGAGTGTGTGTGAAACAACAAAACATAACCACTCAGACATGTCTATGAATATAATAACTTAAAGGTAAAATATGATAAAAAATGTGTATCCCTTTTGTAGGGATATTGGAGCACACAATTTCAGTATCTTGTAGAGTTTGAGGTAACAGTGGTTTTGAAGAGATTTTGGATACCGTTATGTTTGAATATCGGTATAGTGTCTACAAGAATTGCAATTCAAGCATGATACACTTGATTGGTGTGAGCTTAATTTTGCCACGAATAAGCTCAAGTTTTGATTAATGTGAGTTACTAAAATAACCACTTATCTTTCCTCATACATGCAACCACTGCACTCCAACTAAACACATTATTTACCACAGTCCACACACCATACTCCACAGATGATATATTTATATATACACACAAACACACTAGTACCGAACAATTGCACTGTAAAACATGCTCACGATACACTCAAAATTAGAAATATTCGGCTCGTATTTGAAACTTAGCGACTTACACTCAGTGTACACCCAGTGTTAACCAGTATTACACACTAGTAAATTCTACGTAACGCGCGAAAACAATAATTCTGTAGCGTTTTCATTGTCACATCTCACGTCGACGGGATTAAACGCGCGCGCGCAACAACTTATCTTACTGCTAACTCAGCGACTAAACACACAACGACTTTGACAATTGACAGATGACTAAACAATTGTGAGTTATGACGGACTTAACTGTATGGGTCAACTACTGAAACTATATTGTTTACTATCTTATTCATTATACTGGACATGAGATGACGAAGTATCTTAAGCAGCACTTTATACCCCCACCTAGAACTTGATTAGTCACGAACAATAGAATCATCAAAAACCAATACAATAAAACATCTTGATCAATAAATGCCTAGCAGCACCAGACAGCAGCCGTGTACCTTTTTCGACTCCGTGGAGTCCCTGATGGACTTTTGTTTACTTTTGTTAATAATCGGACCAACCTTTCTTTCTCGAAACATGTATCCTATTGTATTTCATTACAGTATTAAGATGTGAAGATATACTAGATATTACAACGAAATAGAGGTATACCAAATTGGCCCTTGATATGAACTATAACCGTGTTGATGGTTTTAAATTTTGTATGTTGTAAGCACTTTAGTTTGTGAAGCGTTTACTCCTCCCCCTCAGCAAGACAGCTAGATTATAGATTAATGATAATAATTGTCAAATGTCGTTATATATTATATAACAGTTATAAATGTTCAATAGTTGTAGAGCGACTTCAAGAGTAGTGGTCCACAGGGGTCGAAAAAGCCGTACAGGCACTTGGGTCCTTATCCTTGTCACTAATCTCAATTGGATTCGGTTTACACAAAGCATGAACATTTAGACGTACACATTGACACGATATTTATTAGAAAGCAAAAAGTATATAATAATACGTGCGTGCGCGGCCTGAGCCGCGCCGCATAAGAACGGATGCGTGCAGGGGCTGGAGTACGCTTGTGTGTAAATTAATGAAATGTTGCATTGTAAATATTTAGAATTGACGATATATTTTGATCTAAAAGTAAATTTTACAAAGCTGGCTTTGGATTTAGGTAAGATTATAATTTATTTAAAAAAAAACCACGGATAATTTTAAATTTATTTCTATTTGTCGTATAATCATAAACAATTTAATCATGTTTTTAAGAATGCGCGGCTTTGGCGGCCAGTTATTGACTTATACATTAAATTGAATTTTAAATAGAAATGTGAATATATTAAAATTTAAAACTTTCAAAACGGAGGCTTATAAATATTATTATATTATGATTGTAAAATAAAGGATAAAATTTTAAATTTGTTTCACTAAAATTTGTTTCACTGTCTCTTATAAAATATTGGATGTCAAGTTTTTGGTGTCCTTTAGGTCTAGTGAATCTTAGACTCGGATAATTTATTACGATAATGAACAATTGCAGTCCCCAAAGAGCAGTTCAATCATTGGGTATCGAGAGGAAATTTTTCCTCTCTAAATGACTTAAAATTCGTGCCATCTTTAATTTTAATTTGTCCAATGTTTTGAATCCAAAATATTACCGAGTGTCTAATCAACTGTTTTGAACTTTCTGTATTGATATCCTATTGGTTTAGCATATAATGCAGTTAAAAATTTTCAGGGGCTGCGCCCCCTGCGCCCTTCAAATATTACTTATAACCACTTGTGTCTAATCAACTGTTTTGAACCTTCTGTATTGATATCGTATTGGTTTTAAAGCATATAATCCAGTTAAAATTTTCCGGGGGCTGCGCTTCTGAGCCCCTGCCGCAGTAGCCTCGGAGCCGGAACCAACTCCTCGCCCACCCCTTTTAAAAATCCTGTGCACGCCCCTGTTGGCTTGGGCCACAGCAAGCGAAGCAAGCGGGAAACAGAAGGGTCTGAAAATGGGTTTGGGAGGAAATTTTTAATTATGTGGATATGGGACCATGAAATTTGCTTCATCCACAGATACTGGATAAAGATTATTAGAAATTAATTTAATAATAAATAATAATAAAATTTAAAATTTGGTAGCTTAAACACAAACTCTAAGCCCAGTGGATAAACCACAAAACTTATGCTCTTTTGTGTGAAACAAAGATACTAGATCAAGATAACTATCAAGGAGTGTATGCATAGGACATAAAAAGTTTTGGAACGAAGATGACATGCTTGTGAAGCGAGCTAACAGTCTAATTGCTAATAAGTTCAAAAAGATCATGACATTAGGTTGCATCCTAAACAGTTTAAGCAAATAACATAAAGTTATTATATTGTCAATTAATCACTCATGCCATAACTTTTCTTAAACAGGTGAGTTTTTAATAATGTTTTGAACAGATCAACATCGGAACAAGTCTTAATTTCAATTGGTAGTTGGTTCCAGATTTTCGGAGCAACAGTCTGAAACGCTCTTGGGTGTGATCTTGTAGATCGGACGGGTAGGTGTAAGGAGGAAGTTCTTCTGCTACTCGAACTAACAAATGTTACTAGATCACACAGATATGCAGGAGCAACACCATTGACTGCTTTGAAAATCAGTAAGCATAACTTAAACTCAATCCTCTCCTTCACCTTGAGCCAATGAAGGGATTTGAGCTTCTCCTCGACTGAGTCTCTCTTCTTTAATCCAAAAACCAGACGGCATGCTCGGTTCTGAATGTTTTGCAGCTGCGTAATTGAGGCTTGACTACAACCATAGTAAAGTGCATTGCAGTAGTCAAGCGATGAGATTACAATTGCTTGAGTCAGTGTTCCCATCTGTTAGAATGACTCGACTGTTAACTTAACCTTGATTTCGAACAGGCCTTAAAATAGTTACTGGTTCAGATATACCAAAAGAAATACCAAACTTAATTATGATTAAACAGCTTGTTAATACAAATTAGCCTGTCTTAGCCAAGAAAATTCGCTGCACTTATAGCAAAGCCCTGGGATATAAGATTGTTAGTCATAAAAAAGCAACTTTTGAGCATATCTCTAACTGAAGCAAATTCCAATATTTTCCTCACTTTTGCAATACCTTTAGAAAAAAATCAACAATCCTTATCAAATGTATTATTCATGCAACAATGATGTTAAACTCATTTTCCTCTAAAATATCATCATCGCTAGGATACATGATATCTTATGGCGCATTCTTTAGAAGAACAGCAATACCTTTTAGCACGCGATAGAATACGTGATGGAGAACTACCTTTTTTGAAGACAACATTTGAAGGGGATGGATGGCTTCAAATATTTGAAGATAAAGAGACTTATTTGATGATGGCATGCTATTACAGGTTTAAATGAAATTTGAATATCAATAATTTTTTGCCCAATGACTTGAATTTTTTTCAACTGACTCGCTATTTATTGGTTTAAACAATTGATGGAACAGTATGAATTTCAACTTAATTGTCTTATATTGTATTTTTATATCAGTAACACAAATCGAATATGAATAGTCACATAGATCAAGTATTTTGGTAACAGAAATAGCAAGTCATGATAATTTAACATAATATTAAAAGCATTAATTAATTTGCTCATCAAGAAAATAATTCCAATCTTTCTCAGGCAGAGATCAGTTATCGAATTCTTGATAAATAAAGCCCTTGAAAATATCAGCAAGGTATGTACCAGATGAAAACTTGTATTTTGCTGACTATAAAGCCAAGAAGGAATAAAACAGTATTTATGAAGTCAAATGGTTAATAAATTTTGTTCATTCAAGTAATTCTATGATTAATCATCTGCATCTACCAGCCTATAGTTCAACAATGGCTGAAAGTGGTAGCACCAAACGACAACAATGCTCTCCACAACTACATATGTTTATCTGCTGTTGCCTATAGACGGAAACCACGGCATGATGGGCTACCAATTCTTACCTCCATTATCCAGCAGCTTGTCAAGCTAGGTACGTATGTTACTCTGTCATGTGATATTGATTCTCATTAATAGCAAGATAATGTTATTAATGATTTGAGTGTAGTTATTTAAGCAGTTTGATAATTCGAGCATCTTGTATACTGAACTTCTGCTAGTCTTCAACTCGATTGTTTCAAATACTAAATGTTTCAGGATTTGATGTCAACGCTCCAAACTCATATGGGGAAACCGCCCTGTTCCTAGCTGGAGCAAACAGTGACCTCATCTCTGTGGAAACTCTGATTAAATTAGGTGCAGATGTAAATGCAAAGTGTTGTGTATTGCTGGAGACAATACTTCACCAGGCATGTTTATCAGAGAGACACCTGATGATGGAGACCCTGTTGCAAGTTCCTGGTATAGCTGTAAGTGCACTCAATATGCACGGATGGACTCCCCTTCATTTAGCTGCTCAAAGAGGTGATGTGTACAAAGTTAGGCGATTACTGGAGGCTGGAGCAGATGTGACCATCCAATCAAAGCGAGGAGATACTCCTTTGTTCTTTAGCGTACAGAAGAAGGCAGGTGATGTCAGCGACAGTGCGTTCAGTTTCATATTCGACTTCATCAAAAACACCATGGATGCAGAGAAAGCTGAGGCCATGTTTTTACATGTAGACAAGAAGGGTGAGTCACTTTTAGATTGTTCCGTGAAATATGAAAACATCATAGCTTTGAAGACACTTATGGAATATGATGGGCTATTTGACATCAACCAGAGGGATGACCAGGGACGTTCTCTGCTGCATTTATCCATCATCCATGCCCCGAACAAAGATGTCATGAATTATTTATTGGATCATGGACTTTCTCCCAATGAGTTGGACTTTAAGGGTAACACTCCTTTGATCTACTTTTTCAAGCAAACACGAATTATTCCGCACATGCCTGTAACTACCGCAGGTGCTCCGAATCTTAATGTCTAGAATCCTATCTGATATGCTATGCTTAGTTATTTTATTAGTTTCTTGGAGAATAACAACTTATTTGGCTGATTTAATTTACAATGTCTTAAGGGGGCATACACCAAATCTGTCCAGACCAAATGACCTCATAGGCAGTTCAGTGACCTTCTAGCGCACGGTTTCCACACCAAAAAAAAATTATTTTGAGAATTCCCATTTTTGTAATCGAGCATTTCCTGGTTGAGAGTGCAATTTTCGGAAAACATTATTTTGTGGTTGAGACGCTATAAGTAAATAATTTCTTGCGGTATCGGGTTGAAATTTTGCTCGCCCTTTATTCACATCTATTTCAAGGTGTGTGTAAAATCTTGATATCGTATCTAAAAAGGCTGGTGTGTTATGAATTTTTAAAGTCAAAAAGCTAAAATTGTCCTTTTCAGGCTTATTTTAACAAAAAGACAGTCAGGTAAGATCGGATTGATTTGATGCTTGACATCAAATTGTTCGCTGAATTCTGGCGCAGTTTTTGATGCCCTCAAAAATGTTTTTACTCATTCAGCTTCAGATCTATTGGACCTCAAAGCCAAACAACAAATTTAGGCACATTTTTCGGTTTTAATATTTACTGATTTTTCTAAAATTTTGATAGGAATATGCTAGTGACTTTTTGAAGGGTGCAAAATAACCGCAATTCAACTAGCACATTTATATATGAGTTATGAACAACAAAACATCCTAAAATGCTTCCCTTTGAAGTTAAGGGAGAAAATGTGATTTTTTATCTGCAAAGCCAAAAAATCACATTTTCTACCATAACTTCAAAGGGAAGCATTTTAGGATGTTTTGTTGTTCATAACTCATATATAAATGTGCTAGTTGAATTGCGGTTATTTTGCACCCTTCAAAAAGTCACTAGCATATTCCTATCAAAATTTTAGAAAAATCAGTAAATATTAAAACCGAAAAATGTGCCTAAATTTGTTGTTTGGCTTTGAGGTCCAATAGATCTGAAGCTGAATGAGTAAAAACATTTTTGAGGGCATCAAAAACTGCGCCAGAATTCAGCGAACAATTTGATGTCAAGCATCAAATCAATCCGATCTTACCTGACTGTCTTTTTGTTAAAATAAGCCTGAAAAGGACAATTTTAGCTTTTTGACTTTAAAAATTCATAACACACCAGCCTTTTTAGATACGATATCAAGATTTTACACACACCTTGAAATAGATGTGAATAAACGGCGAGCAAAATTTCAACCCGATACCGCAAGAAATTATTTACTTAAAGCGTCTCAACCACAAAATAATGTTTTCCGAAAATTGCACTCTCAACCAGGAAATGCTCGATTACAAAAATGGGAATTCTCAAAATAATTTTTTTTTGGTGTGGAAACCGTGCGCTAGAAGGTCACTGAACTGCCTATGAGGTCATTTGGTCTGGACGGCACAAACCACTGTTTTAGTGTATGCCCCCTTAAGGCTTGTTAGTTTGATTGGTGTTGAACATTTTATTATATATAATTGACATTACTATTTATGTTATATTGAGACCATAATATTTGAATGCTATTATAACTATTCGAAAATAAGTTTGATATTATGCATGTAACATTGTTTGTTTTTGTACTAATATATGCTTGCTTTATTTGCATCAAAATTTAATTTTCAAAACCTGTTTAATATTGATATCAGTAATTACCTCCAGATTTGTTGGCAAATCTTGTCTGTTTTTTAGAAAGTTTTATAATAATTCATGCAGTCAGGTATTTGAAACCGTGTAACTATTTCAACGTGACTGGCGGCCACTTTCTGTCGCAATTTTGCCGCACTCATGAATCCCGGATTTTGGCACATTGAGACAAATTTGGGACAGAAATTTGAGGCAAATAGGTATGCCAGGGCTGACTTGTAATTCGATCTGCAATGGTTGAGAGGGAAACCGGGTCTGTTGGCTTAACTGACGCTTGGCCTAACTTGACTAATATGGCCTAACTTGACTAAATGCCTAACAAGTAATATATACTGAACAAACGGACGGTTGGCCTATTCCTACTTAGGGCAGATTTTAGGCCGATAGTCGTACTTGGGTCACCTGGCCTTAACTGCATGAGTGATGTGGACCCGTCAGTGCCTGTAGTCTCTTAACATGAGCTGACAGGGCATGCCTAGATCCTAGCTCGATGACATGGACCCAATTAAATTAGTCAAGTACATCTTATAATAATGTATATACCGTTGAGAAAGGGTCCTTTTGGATCCAGCGCCAGCCGTCCAGAAATATTGGTGATCCCCCTGAAAACATCTGATGCCCTTGTTATGTTGTGAGCTAACGAGCTCTTTATTGTGAGAGATAGAGGCATGGATCACGTCAGCATGGCCACTTACCTCGTCGAAGCACGTCATCGGCTCATAATAGCCATGCTTTGTCAGCTCATGGGAGTAAAACGGTGCACGTAACGGGTCTCATCACACTGTAGCCGCCCGTCGTCCAGTTAGGCCAAGCCGTCTAAAGGTGGACTGTTGGCTGTTAAACTTCAATTTTAAAGTATAAGTAACCCCAAAACGGTCGCCTGAACTATCTGGCTTATGGACTATTTCATGGATTTAGGCGCTAGTCCAGTTAGGCAAAGAGACCTAGATCATTCAAAACTGCTGGAAAAGGTAGTTCATATGCCACCTATCCATACCTAAGCAAATTCAACTCAGTTTATAAACAAAATAAAGGATATCGGATCGGGCCTTAAAAAATTGACAAAGTTTTTTCGAAAACTAGCCAAAATTGCGGATTAATTCTCTGCGCGCGAAACCGACCTGTATTTTATAAGTAAACGTGATATTGACAACAAGTACGTGCTTTATTTGCGCGTCGCTAAATTTATAACCCTCATTATAATGGGGGTTAAACCTGTCATGGCTACTGGCGTAGCTAGCACATTTTTTAAGACAGCTACCTACGACAGCTAGCGCGCATCAACCCCCTCATTTTCTAGCTGTATTAGAAATTTGCCTATCCTAAGACAGCTAGAGCGCGCTAGCTTGTCTTAGATTATTTGTAGGGCACGTCGTGACCCACACGGTCTTTTCACTTTTTATATGGTTTGTTCACTATATTAATATGGTGTAGAGATTCTACGATACAAGGGGAGCCGTGCACTCGTGCGCGGCGGGTCATACAATAACAACGTATGACAAGACATACCCGGACAGGGGGATGGAGGGCCGGGTGGTCTGAAAATGTTGCGATTTCGGCGGACCGTCATAATGATGGCCCCTTATTCTTGTCACGATATTATTCTCAATTTCTTTATTGCAGAAGGAGATCAGAAGAGCGATGAGAAGAGAAATTAATTCTAAAGACAGAAGGTATCAAACAAAATTATTTCAATTGAATACCGTAACCCTACTTGGTTGGTGATTTGTACAACTACAAGCTTAAAATTCATTTTAAGTATCTGGTGTTAGGCTTGCATTTTGGTTCTCTTGACGTGTGGATACGTCTGTAAGTAATCCCAAAAATATAGTCGATTATTATTTAATCTTTTCAGGGACGCAGGGCAATGGAAAGCGAAAAGCCAACAACAGGAACGAATGAAGATAATCTCAAAGATTACTACTGAACTTGGAGAGCCATAATTCCTAGAGTTCGATCCAAAAAGCTAACTCAAACCTGCTGAAGCGAGTCTTTTGTAAATATGAAATAAGTATGAAACCGAACTGTTTTATTCAACTGTTAAGTAATATGAATACTCTATATTTCAGTTATCTGCCTATGGTCCATCATTTTCTTTTGTCAACATTGTATGACCCGCCGCGCACGAAGTGCCGCTCCCCCCTGTCGAAGACGCTACAGGGGAGCTATAGTGAAGCGCTAATAGTGAAGCGACCGTGGGGGTCACCGCGGTGGATACAACATTTTCATTGTGCTGAATATGAAATTCTTTTAGTACGATTATATTGTATATGGCTGAGTTTTTATTCTTAGAAATTCATTTTGTATGACAAATGAACCTGTATTTTTAATTCTCTCCCCATTCTCAGATTTTGAAGATGAAATTTCTAGGACCAAAATGTACAGTTTTGACTGAATTTTTGTCACCCGCAACCAATGAATTAGTCAGTTTATAACTGATAGGTTCTTGGGTCTGAAAATCTGCGATTTTTTGGCGGACGTTCCTAGTAGATGGCGATGGCCCCTTTGATTTTCATATTCTGTCCCATTTTTCAAATATTATTAATTTCTGAACACAATTTTGAACTTTTGGCCATAAAACCAATAAGTTAGTTAATTGTTACCTGAGGACCCCAGGCTATTATTGTGCATAAACTTAATAATAAAGATTCGGCGAAATGACAGGCTGAAGCCCGCCCGGAACATAATAGCCTGGGGTCCTCAGGTAAATCAATGAATAATGAATGAAGACTATGAAACCAAATTAAGTCTAAGAGGTAACTGTAGTCAAATCTTGAAGAAAATTGCAAAATGCGTTTTATGTCCCGAGTTCTGTCAAAAACTTTGAACAATGTAGGGCACAGCAAGATACTAATACTATGGTCATCATGATCGATAGTTTTGGTGTCCACAGGAGGCTTTAGTGCAAAGACACTGCTGCTTACTGCTGCTAATTACCTGGGGACCCTCAAGGCTATCATGTTCATAAAACATATTATGTAATAGAGATTTGCGGAATGCAGGCGAGCGAGGCCCGGTAATGCTGCTTAACTGTAGGTAGTGCGCCATCGACAGTGAGCCGCGCGGCCGAACTGTAGGGAATGGTTTTTAGCGCTATTTGTAAGCTTACTCATAGACTTACAAGGAAAGTGTCCCGAAAAATTATAGCATATCCCCCATTACTAAATGGTTGGATATCTTGAAATTTTTCGGACATTAATTTTCAGCTAAAAGCAGCGTAATTTTGCCCCATTTTGATCACTTAAGTATAGCAACTCCATATCCAACAAATTTTTCGGACAGTTTGTGAAAGCCCTATTGGAAGGCGTCGCACTTTCCAGAATGATCTCATTTTAAGGAACGAAGATAAATCCGAATAATACATAATACGACTAAAATGGTCGAATTTGTCAAATTACGCATCTTTACAGTTACTTTTTTTGCTTCAAAAAAGCCTTGACGGGTGGTTACTCTTCTAAATTTCTTCGATGTACGCGCGCCGCTTTCTTCTCGAAAGGCAGAGTAGGCGGTTGCACGATAAAATAATCTTGCTCGGATTTTCAAATTTTTGTACCATCGTTTTTTCTAGAGACTGAGAGAATTTTAACAATACCAGATTTATCATACCTTTTTTGGAATTATCAGTGAGTTTCGCCTAGGTGCCATATTTTGATGGTGCGCGGCTTTGAGCCAAAATTAGGTGTAAAAGTCGCGTAATTTGACGAATTCGTTGATTTTAGTCGTATTATGTTGTCATATCGTCGGTTCCTGAACATGAAGCATTGCTGAAAATTTCAGAAAACTTCCAATCATACTTAACTACCAACCTATATTTAGTGGAGAGATTGGGCTGATTAAGAGGTCTAAAAGACGAAATTGGTATAAATTCGTTTGATACTCAAATTCGAGCATCGAAATCGCTCAAAACTAAATTAGGTTCAGTAGAACATAAGTGTTTACGTAAGCGGACCAAATTCAACAAAATGTTATATGGGAAGTATAGAACTTTTACAATTGTTCCAAAATAATGTGCTGGCCGAAATAAAAGCTAAAAACACCATTCAAGGTCAGCGCGCGCGCTTATTGCGATGGCGCACTGCCTAGCAAGAGCTACGAAGTAGCGCGCGCCGGGTCAGATCATTAAGTTTAACAATGGTCAACAAAAGCCCGCGCACCATCAAATATGGCACCTATGCGAAACTCACTGAATCTTTCCAAAAAGGTAGGACAAAAGGTAAATTTATTATTATTGTGCACACCCCTAAATGCTAAAGTCCAAGTCACTGTGCTATGGGCGCGCGCGCGACAAGCAGCAGTTAGCACAAGCAGCAGTGGAGCAGCAGTGAGCAGCAGTTTCTTTGCACTATAATCCTCCTGTGTTGTGTGTAGTGCCAATGGATCTACCAAATAGGTCCCATTTTTTGTCCCTTTTCAGTTTTTTGAAGATTAAATTTCAGGACCAACATTTTTACAGTTTTAAACCGAATGCCTCTCCTGCAACCAATAATCAGTCAACTTAGATGGCATATGACACGATTGAGGTGCTGAAGTTTGATTCGGTCGGAGGAAGCTCACAGCAGAAAGGTTAACAAACTAAAATGTGTATTTTCCAAATTCTGTCCCTTTTCAAATATGGAAATTTTTGAACACATAATTTCACACAGATTGGATGAATTTTTTTGGCCCAAAAACCAATTAGTCATTTAAATTGGATATAGTATGAAACCAAAATTGAGTACTGGAAGTCAAAGAATCTCGAAGAAAATTGCAAAATCCGTTTTTGTCCGATTATTCTGTCCCATTTTCCAGTTTTAATTATCCATGATGTAACATTAAGCACAACTAAATTCAAAACGAAATGAAACCGTTCCAACGCACAATATATTAAATACGTAAAATAGTTACACTAACTGATAAAATTGATCGTTGTCGGTCGGTCCTAATAATAAACTAATACTATGTACTATGTATCTGTATACCTATATGAGTTTATAAATCAGTTGAATAAGCAGCACGTTAATCAAATTTAAATCAAAAAAAGAAACCTACCACTTCTAGTCCTCATCACAAAATTGGTTAATTGTTTAAGTTTAACACAGAAATATAATGTTTTTAATAAAATCTAAAATCTAAGGCTGCAACTTCCTCCCTCAGAGTTCGTACAGTGCCCTTACTAGAAAATGGAGGATTCGTTACTCTCAGGAAATGCCATGGAGGGGGTGGAACCAAGATTGCCATAGGAAGAACAGGGCCCCATAACCTTCACTGGCACCCAATGATCTGGCCCACCAGGGGAAAGGAACATCCCGTTCCATTCTTTGCTCCCATCAGGGTCAAGGGATCGCAACCTGTGTATATGTGTACTCCTGCTGGTTCATACACTGCTTTAACTAGACTCGCTGATCAGATTACTGTCTGAAACGGACCCAACTTAGATGTTCACATAATCGTTTTGGTATCAATGGACAATATCAATTTTGTCAGTAACTCTTAAGACCAAGCGTCCGATCTTATTTAATGTCTCATAATCAGAATGAAATGCAGTGAATCGTTGTAAGACAATCAGATAACCGATTGAGTTATCTTACAATTAATGTAGGTGTTGAATGTTGATATTATTTGGTGCAATGTGTCGATTTGATTCGATGACATTTCAAGATTTATTCGAACTTCACACACATGCCAGGACACAGAAGAATGCCCAATTTACTCAAGTAAATTTTTTCCAAATTTCCACTTCAAACACTCACAAACAAACGATTGGGGATATGAACTTCCAGCGAGTTTCCAGTAGCACTGTGAGGTTGAGATCCGGTCCATGTACTCGATATCCTCGCAAACTTGTCCCAGGTCGTAGTACCACGCCACCACCACACACTCTGCTTACCTGCACGGTGAATTAGTAATTAGTAAATAGTAATTAGTAAATTAGTAAATAATTAGTAAATAGTAAAACACTTATTTTGTGTTACAATTTGTAAAGACTTTTTCGTATTTGGAGGGGAAATAGTGTGCTTGGTGAAATGCCACCTGTTTAGATGTTACCTATATTCGCAGTATCGAGATAGCCCAGAACACTGTCCGCGGACCACTGTCTGCGGAGACCTCGGTCTCTGCGGAACCACAGTCCGCGGAGAGGGGGGATATACAGTTGTCCGCGATCACCGCTACCGATCATATTACTGTATAATAACACTACTATATAACAAATAAGTTGGAGCATGAATTGAAGTTGTTACTTTGAAACGTCGTTTAATTCCTAACAGTGCAATATCATTTGTCGCAAATCAGAATAATCAAAACTATTTGGAGAAACCCAAAACTGTCTATTGTATAATAAACAGGAGAACACTTTAACGTTACGCTACCAACCCTGGGCTAACCCCTTCCTATGTTAGCTCAACTTTTCCACACATTATTTCAAGCGGTCATGAGGGTTAAATCCCAGTTTGAATAGAAATTGTAAGAATTGAAGCCCAATACTGTCAGAAGAAAGATTGTGAAGCGATGTTATTATTAATTTGAACCCTACAATTAACAAGATAGAAGAACTGGATACTATTACAAACGTTTTTTATCATAGCTAGTACTGAAGAATTTTAGATATTTTAGTTTAATTCCCTTTTTATTTATTGCATACAGTTTTCAGTTTTCTAGCAGTATAAGTATTAATGTTTTTTCACAATCTCTGTTATCACTTACATCGTATCATCTTTAATCACTGTACATGTCATTCCAGCACACGATCACAATCACGTACTCTGTTAGTGATGTTTTTAAGTTTATTGAATAGCAGAATCGAGTAGTGGTGTAGATATATAGATTTTGATTCTAATTTTAGTCGATAATTTTGAACAATTTGTTGTCGTTTTAGGCCATTTTTGATAATAAATTTTTGTTGAGACAGGTTTCTCACATATTTA